TAGATATACATGCTTCTAGAATGCTGCCAGCAGCTTCTACCTTTCAGCATGTGGGATTCTTAACCTGTCGTCTTCCTGATATCAGTGAATATGGCGGCTAGATTTCTAGATCTGTACCCAGACTGCCATTTTATTTTTCTGCCGGATCCCATTTAGCTCCAAAGGAACTATGAAGACCTGATTCCTTGTCTGCCAAAAACAAGCATATTCTATAAAGGCTGAGTGCAACTGCAGGCTTACATACAGCAGGTAGCAGAACTCCCACATTGCCTTTGATGAAGAAAATATTTAAATTAATATCACCTTTAATAAGGACATCCTCGGATCTGTGCTGTCTGTATGGTCAGTGTAGTATCTGGTCAAGTGTGTTGTTAAATTTCATCTGGCTTACATTTCTTTCTCCTCTTCCTCTTCTGTGATAATGAAATACAAAATATGATCTTAGAGAATACCCTTGAAAAGACTTCAACAAGGGTAGGAGATGGGGTTGGTTCATAATATATCACAATTAAGTTGAAAAAATATAAGTAAAGAGCCAAAACAGTAGGAAGTACACTAAAGTAAGTCAACCGGAGGCTTTGTCCGTTGTTCATTTGAAAGGGTAGGTTATCTTTAGAGGACCCATTTATTTAGGAAAACATGCAGAAATTAAAATGTTAATGGCGAAGAAAAAATTGCCCTGATTACTAACAGAAGTGAAGTGAACAGCACTGTGAAAGTCAAAGCCATTGTGTTTATTAAATACTATCGCACTGCTACTTGAGAGAAAGTGAGTAGTTTCCAATATCACAGATCAGATTGTGTTTGTAAACAAAAGAAATTGCTACAATTATGTTGTATAATGGTGCAAGTGTCTGAAAGGTTAATGCTGAGGAATGCCTTAAGCACTGCCCAATATGATGATGCCACATAGACTCAGGTGGGGGAGTTGATGGGTGGAGGAGATAGTTTTGGATCTGGAAAGACCAAGACCTAACATTGAAGTTTCACTCATAATATCAGCAATAATGTCTACCTTACAAATGCAATAATTTCCTTGCTGCTATGATGCAATAACCTCCCTCCTGATAAAGATTAGAGCCTCTTCTCATTCAACTGCCTGATGGTTTACCTTCACCCACACTGGACAAAACTGGTCCTGTAGATCCCAACCAGGAAAGAGGAAGGTGGCAGCAAATCTACCTGATGGATGTTATAGCATGATGATGTCATCTTATAAGAAATGGGTTATGGCATTATGTGAACTTTTCCATACATCTATTTTACATATTACACAATCCCATTTTACTGTCACTCATTGCTTTCTCATCCATTACCATTAGCTCTTTCACTTTATCTTTTGACTAGGATGCTAAACAGCTTATAGCTCTGGTAAAACATTTCACAACCAATGCTTGTTTATAAATTAACTTACAGGAACATGATCAACCTTACAGTCAATAAATGTTTAGACTGTTAACATCCACAAACAGATTCTCAGCGTTTAATTCTTAGTAATTTATTAGGATTTGTTTACTTGCCTCAATACTTTTTTTGGTCCTATCGTTTGTCAAATTTACAAATAATTTTTCTACATGTAATTTTGACATAAAGAGATGTTTCAACCATGTAGCAGCTATGGAATTTGAACAGATAGTTAAGTTTAAGGAAGAGTATGTGTGGTATCTATCAATCCATCCCTACTTTATTACTGCATTATCAGTAGGTATTGCCGGATGTTCTAACTACCTTGGTAAAGTTTACAACGGACATTGGTTAATTACATCCAGGAAGTCCAGTGAAGATAGGTCATGATTGGAATTCTCATAATTTTTTAGTGCAAAAGCAAAGCTGATGTAAAGGAGTGTAGATTGATACAATTTGATAGCCTTATGGGGATGGGGTAGAGAAATTCAAGAAGTTCTAGGAAAGCTGCAGTGAATATAAAAAAAAGGAAAAAAAAAAATTACTTAATGCCTGGAATCATTTGGCACAAAGGAAAATGCATTTGTCATTGAAGGGCAACCATCTTGGCCCCAGGACACCTCTGCAGAAGTTTCTCAAGATTCTGTTCTTAATCCAACTATCTCAGCTACATCATCAATGACATTCCGTCTTTTATAATTGAATTAAATTGAAGGATTTATTTCACTTGTATTTAACAAATGCATAAAGTGAAAAGTGTCATATGTTGCCACACTCCGGCACCATTTCGAGTTACAGAGCATATTAAGATATAACTAAAACATAGCTAAAAAACAGAGTTCTTCCTTCCTTTGTGGGGGTGTTCTCCACAATGGGCACTGTGTCCACCAACGCCCCCGCATCACAGTCCATTCCAAAAGTTCCGCTCCCGGGCTATCACCGCCATCTACCTCTGTACCACCTGGAGAACCTCACCAGGCATACCACACCACAGTGGGTGCAACTACTGCTTCCATCGATCTGCCAGACTACTGGTTCAGGCCTCCTGCTTTGCAGCTGACCAATGCCAACTGCAGATACTGCTGTCTCCTCCAACTACTGAGGCCACCCTGCCGTCACTGCCATCTTGAAAGCTGGTGCTGCCGCCACCACTTCAAGTCCTGTGCTGGGCCCACCAATGTCGAAGTCACCATGTTCTGGCGCCGTTTCTTCCTGCTGCACCCACACTCGCAGCTGTCGTGAGTTTTCCAAGGGCTCACCTTCCCCATGCCGAGCTAGCTTTCCACAAGGAGCTGACCTCTGCTGCACCTGCTCGGGAGGCCTGGTCTGCTCTCGCCCTGCCGAAGATGCTGTAAAGGCCTCCAAAGAGAAAGACAAAGGAAAAAAGGATGAGAGCAAAAGAGCAAAAGAGCAAAAGCAAAAGGCAAAAGTAAAAAGAGAATAAAAAGAAAGCAGAAGGAAGCCGACGACCCCCACAGCAGGAGCCGGGATGCACCGCCACTACTCATCTGCCATCTTGTATGGTAAAGTCATGTGTGGAGCTGTTTGTGGCAGATTATGAACCATTGCATGCCCTCAGCTAGACTGTTCAATATCCATCCTTGAACAGATAAGTAATATGTGAGATTCATGTCATATATGTATCACAAAACGCGAATCTCAAGCAAGAAAGAGTATATCCACTTCCTCCTGACATACAATATCAATACTATAATGGAATCCGCCCACCATTGAGGAAATCACAAAAGCATGAGAGGTGACTTGGCTTCAATAGATTGGGTAACTTCATTAAAAGGAATGACAGTGGATGGGTAATGGGTAATATTGAAAGAATGAATGCATGCAATGTAACAGTTATACAGTTATTGGTCCATAAACACAAGAGAAAAAATAGCATAGCCAAGGTTAACAAAATAAAGGTAGGATTAGATCCAAAGAGGTGTCATATAAAGTTGCTAGAAAAAGAGCAAGCATGAGGACTGGGGGGAGTTTAGAATTCAGCAGAGGACCAAAAGGTTGATTCAGAGGTGAAAAATAGAGTTTGAGAGTAAACTTGCAAAGGCAATCGATGCATACATCAAGATTTTCTATCATTTTCTTTAAAATCCATCAGTGAAAACAAATGTACTCCCCTTAGTCTGAAACAGGAGAATTGATAATGAAGAACAAGGAAATTAAACAACTACCTTTGTTCTGTCTACACAGAAGAAGACACAAATAATTTTGCAATATGTTTGGGGAAGCAAAGACTTCTTGGGAAGGAGGAATTGAAGGATACTTGCATCAGAGAAAAAAAAACATGCTAGACTGGAAGTAATAAATCCCTAGAGCCTAATTGTCTACATGCCAGGGTATTAAAGGAAATTAAATGGAAATAGTGAGAGCATTGATTGGTGTCTTCCAATATTCTGTAAATTTTTGAACAGGCCCTGCAGATTCTAGGCTGATAAGTGTAACCCTGCTTCTTTTAAAAAGAAAGGAAGGAGAAAACAATGAATTACAGACAGGTTAGCCTATTATCAGTATTAGGCGAAATGCTGAAGTCTGTTATAATGGATGTGTCAGAGTTTAGTGTTGAGGTAGAGGATCAGCCAAGATCATATCGAGTGTAATAGCTGGCTTAATGGATCAAGTGCGTTACTCCTGCTCCTTTTTTCTATGTTTCTATGTCAGTACCATTCATGACCTTGGAAGATGGCAGAATGGACTTGAGGCCTACAAGTGGCTGTATTTTCTGTATTTTTACTCTGCCCTCTGGAACTCCTGGCATGATGTCCTGTAGCTCAGATGTTTGATATCCAACAAAAAAAAGGTCTTTCTTTGTGCCAGCTATGATTCTAATCAGTGAAAGGTCTATTCCCTGATTTCCATTGGCCTTAATTTTGTGAGGACTGCGAGATGTCACCCTGGGACAAGTGCTGCCTTGATGTCACTCGCCTGACACCTCCTGAGTTCGTCTCTTTGTCCATGTTGTAATGAGCTCTGGTGCTGCAGGATTTTCGTGAAAGTCCACGTAAACTTCAGAGAGCAGTTTCCTGCTGACCAAGTGTCACTTGATGATGCTGTCAATGATCCCTTCCATCAGTTTACTGCTGATGGAATGTAGTCTGATAGGGCAATAATTTGAAGGTTTGTATTTGTCTGCTCTTTATACACACTGAGCAGTTTTACACATTGTTAAGTAAATGTCAGTGTTGTAGTTGTGCTAGAACACCTTGGCCAGGGGCACAACAGCTCGAGAGTATGTTTCTTCAGTACTATTACTGGATCATTTTCAAGTCTCAGACATTTTGCAATTTCTAGTGTCTTCATCCATTCCTTGTTGTCACATGGAATGAATCAAATTGGTTGAAGATTGACAGCTATGATGCTGGGCACCTCAGGAAGAGGCCAAGTATCATCCTGTCCGTACGCATGGCTAAAAGTGGATCAAATGCTTCAGCCGTGTCTTTTACACTTGTTATGACTGAAATGGGAGATGTACATTGTCATTCAAGTCCCACTAATCTATAGGTCACATAAATTAAAAATATTTTATTCAAGTCCTAACATAGCCAATCATATACTTTCTCTATGTTGGATATAGAATGAAAATATCGATCAAACAAGATTCTTTAATAAACACAAGGTCATTAATTTATTTTAAAACAAAATGAATGAATCAATGAGCAGAACTGATCAACACACACCCCTTTGTAATATGACAATACAAATTTCTACCCTTCTAATGAACACAATACACACACACACAAACACACAATTTGAACTTGAAATTTGAACACTTTCTGGGGTCAGTCGTGTTTATCGTTGAAGGAAATAAGACATAAAATGCTTCAAAGTCTGTTCATCTGTTGTTCTCACATATGTAGTCAAATCACTAATCATGTATGATCATCTCCAGGGTCATAGTAGGTACAGCTTGCTCAGAAAATCCAATCTTATGAAGTTTTTTCAGTCTGTCATCCAGAAGAACAATCAGTTTTTACACCGAAAATGTACCTGAGAAACAGGAGACATGAGATGAACAATTTATTCTGCAATAGGATTGCCTCACCTGAAGAGTCCAAACACAAATGCCAAGCTGATAAACACTGTTCAAATAGAAAAGCCTTAAAATCTCATTGTAAAACAGTTTTCTTTGAAGTGAGTTCATATAATTATCTGAAATTGCATGATTTTCCAGAAGTTTTGCAAACAAAAGTTTTCCACAGTTTTGTTTTAGTGGTTTTTAAACTTCATTCAAATATTCACACATAACTTCAAATAGACTTTTTTTTTCAATAGGGAATATTACTTTTTATTTTTATGTCTTTAAAAACTGAGGATTGCAATGAGAAAGCGCTATTCTTAAAAAGGGGATTTACCAGGAAAACTGTATAATTTCACAGCAATGAATTTAATACCTATTCTGAAGTCTGTTTTTGTGTCTGTGTGTTCCTACAATGTGCAAATGATCAGGAGCCAAAAAGTTGTTTATAAATGAAGTTGATTGGTTCTCAGCTAACTGAGCAGGCTAGAACTAGAAATAAGTTACTGAGACACAGACATATAGAGAGAGAAAGACACAAAAATGTGTGCAGATGTTCTCTCACCAGAAGCTGCCTTTTCTCTGCAGTAAAAACACTGTTTAAATCTACACGAAAATCAGTCACCTTTCCTGCAGCAGTTGCTGTGAGCTGTTTAGAATTGTTAAGTCAGAGGCATTTTCCAAATGAATTAGTTGCTTATACTTCTTACAAACCAGTAGAATTTTTTTAAAAATTCAATTGAGCACCAATTACCTGGTTAGCCAAAGAAATATTACCTTAACATTGGAATCAAGGGTGAAAACCACTCAACTGTCTCAACTGACTTTCCAGTGTTTTCTACTTCTGCAAATAATCTATTTTTCCTATTTGTGTGTCTGTATGTGTATGTAAGTGGATATTTATAAGAGGATCAAAGTTTTAGTTGGTAGTGTTTATACCTGTTTTGTTGTAGTTACAGTTGAATTAATAAATAATAATTCTTGTTTAGTACATAAATCTGGTTCATGTTTTCTAGCAACCTTGGTTTGAAACTCAGGTAAATTGGTGTATAGTGTACACTTTAAAAAAACTAAACTTTAACATTTTGTATAATTCTATGGGGGATTGGGGTGTTGATTTATGGTGTGCTCGCCCAGTTGTTTGTAACATTCCAACATCTCCCAAAATTCAAGTCCTCAAAAATTAAAAAATATGAAGCAACTTACACTGCATCGATGTGCTGGGTGTCTCCATTTTTGAGGATGTGATTATTTGTGGAGCCTGAACCTCCAATTTGTTATTTAATTGTTCACTGCCATTCACAACACAGTGTGGCAGGAATGCAGAGTGTAGAACAGATCCATTGATCGTGTGATTGCTTTGCCCTGTCTATTGTACCCTGATTCTGCTGTTTGGATTCAAATAATCCTGTGTTGTATCTCCCCCATTTGGCACCTCATTTAAAGGTACTCTTGGTGCTACTCCTGGTGCTACTCCTGGTATGGTCTCCTGCATGCTTCATTAAACTAGAGTTGATCTCCCAGTTCAATGGTGATGGTAAAGTAGGGATTTGCTGGGCCATACAGAGAGCAGTTGAATGCAATTCTGCTGCCACTGATTGCCCATAATGCCCCATGTATGTAGATTTGTTTGATGTCTGTCCGATTTAGCATGGTTTATGCCACACAAAAGCCGTTGTCAATGTGAAGACTTGACTTCAACTCTACAATAACTGTTTGGTTATCATTCTTACTGATTCTGTCATGGACAGATGCACCTACAACAGGTAGATTGGTGCAGTTGGTTCATACCTAGTCTGCCAGTGATGTTATTTAGGATTCAAGCAACTCAGTTAGTAAGGGTACTAAGAACTCTTCCCAGTGATGGACATTGAAGTCTCCCAACCAAAGCACATTCTGTGTTCTTGCCACTTCCACTGATTCCCCCAAGTGGCATTTCAAAATAAGTCCTGATTTATCAGCCAAAACAGCTGGTAGGTGGTAATAAGCAGGAGGTTTCCATGTACATGTTTGCCATGAGACTTCTTGTCTGAGAGACAATGTTAAAACTCCCAGATTAACTCCCTCCAAATTGTATACGTTAGTGCCACCATTCTCAGGAATGTGATGATTGTAACTGGGGGCTCTGTACTTAAGGTGTGATTCTGTGACTATGACTATGTCAGGCTGTTGATTGATTAGTCTGTGTTACAGATCTCCCAATTTTGGTACGAGACCGCTGATGTTAGTAAGGAGGACTTTGCAGAGTTGCAGGGCTGTATTTGCTGTTGTCATTTCTGGTACGAGGTGGTTCTTTTGTTTTCATTCCTTTCTTCAGATGTTGCAGTGTTGGATACAAGTGTGTGACTAACTAGGCCCTTTCAGAAGACAGTTAAAGATCATCCTCATTTTCTGGGTCTGGAGTCACATGTAGGCCAGACCATGTAAGGACAAGGACATAAGGGAACTAGATGGGCTGTTACAATGAATGGCAATGGTTACATGGTTACATAAGATCAGTTGTTTTTATCCAAATGCTACTGCATTTCATCATCCAGTGTGTTGGAGTTCAAACACATGTCCCCAGAGCATTAGCTGGCTCTCTGGTTACTTGTACAGTAACAATATAAATGTGCCAGATCCTCCCAATGAGGAAACCAATACTGTTTACAGTACACTAGACATGTTCTCTCCAGTGCCCTGCAAGACTGAAGTATAACCTTCCTATTTTATTGTTCAATCTCACTCATAATAAACAAAGTCATTCTATTATCTTTCCTACTTATTTTTGCTGGACTGTATACTAAACCTTTTATGATTCATGCATTAGGCCACCAAGATCTTTCTATATCCCAAAGCTCTGTTATATCTCACCACTTAGATAATATGCTCCTTTTTCTAATTCCTTCTGCCAAAGTGGACAATTTCATATTTTCTCACTTTATACTACATTTGCCAGATCTTTGCTCACTCACTTCACCTATCTATATCACGCTTTATAACTTACTTTTTTACCTATATTTCTGTCAGCAAATTTAACAACCTTGCTTTTAGTCCCTTTATCCAAATGAAATAAATAAATTAAAAGAAGTTAAAGCCCTCATTCTGATGCCTATGCCAGACAACGCATAACTTCCTTCTCATCAAAATATAACCCATTTATCTCACTTTGTTTCCCGTTTGTTAGCCAATCTTCTATTGATCAGAATACCCCTTATACTGTGAGTTTTTATTGCCCATACTTACCTTTGATGTATGACCTTATCAAATACCTACTGGAAACCTAAGTACAGCACATCCACTGGTTCCCTTTCATCCAAAGCAAATCAAGATCTCCAATAAATTGATTAAATATGTTTTCACTTTGCACAAAGCCATGTTAACTCTCCCTGACTCTCCCTCTTTCCTTGAACTTTTCTAAGTGTCATCATAAAGCATCTTTCATAATAATTATTAACATCTTCTTTGTGACAGATGATAAGTTAACTGGACAGTAATTCCCTGCTTTCAATCTACTTCACTTTTTGCTATTTTCCATTTTAATGGAACATATTCAAATCTAGAAATTTTGGAACATTAAAACCAATGCATTAACCATATCACTAGCCACATGTTTAAAGACATTGAGATGACATCTATGAGGGCCCAAACTCCAACAATCTGTACAGTACCCCTTCTGTAATGATTATAATTTTCTTGAGTCCGTCCCTCTTTTCCATTCCCTAATTTACTACTTTTTCCGGGATATAACTTGTACCCTGTGTTGTGCAGACTGATGCACAAAACTTGTTCAAATTAATTTGCCCATTTCCTTATTTTCCATCATTAATTCCCAAGACTCATTTTCTATTAAGGAAAGGTTATCATACCAGCAATGATGGGTTGCAGCTGTTCTTTCACAAGTGACTAATGATGGTCTTTAATGTGAATAAAATAATGCTTTCAGTTAACTATCACTGTTGGGGCATTCTGTTTATTTTAAGCATGCGTTTAATAAATTCGAGAAAGCATACATCGTTATCTGTCACTAAGATTTATTCAATATATATACATGTTCAAATTTTGTTTACACGTATGTGACTGGTGACAATGTACATTACACTAATTAAATAAAAATAATTACAAATGTTGGGTAAAGATATTTTACACTTTTTTTAGGCCTTCAAAAGCACTTGAATCTCTATTAATGTGAGGTCATGTTAAAGAAAATATTTATTTCCAATGTGAAAGGCAATTTTTTTCTGATGAGTGCAGTCTGAAGTGATGGTATTCACTGAATAACGTACATTAGGTAAAAGTGACAAAATAAATGTTAGCTTGACGCAGTGGGGAGACATCAGTCTGTAAATTCATATCTGGTATACATTAATGCTTAATAATTTGACACATTAATCTAAACGTATAAATAAGGCATCTTTGCATCTTGCTTCCATTATTCTTCTACAGACTGTAGTTGCTAGATAGATAGTAACATAAACCTGTCATTATAAATTCTCTTGTTCAGGACTCCTCAAAGACAATTTCAACACAAAGGTATGCATTCTTGGCATTCGACTATGCTGCATTAAAAATTTGAGCCCCAAAGATGGTATTAAGACAGCAAAATTTCCAAAGATGGAGTATGTACATCAAATATGAAGGAAATAATACATTATTTTAAATACAATGTGTTCTTGTTTAAAATTTGATATGAACTTTGCTGGATGAAAGCATGCCTGCTTCTAATCAAACAATGCAAATTGACTACAATTTCCAGAAGGATTCCAAGGAACAGTAACTGGGACAAAACTCAAACACTACCTTCCCGAAATGTCACAGTGCAACATTCATGGACATTACACTTGAGATATTTTATAAACACATTAAAGGGAAGAGGTTAACCAGGGAAAGAGTAGGGCCCACTGGGGACAAAGGGGGCAATCTGTGCGTGAAATTGCAGGATATTGGAAGGGTGTTAAATGGATGTTTCTCTTTGGTCTTCACTCTGGAAAAG